GGATGGATGTGACAAGTTTTGAAATAATTTATGATATGTCAATATTAAATTCGCTTCCGCAATATTGTTAAATACTCCGTACTGTATATCGTATGAAAAATATTATTGAGATTAATAAAGTGTGTTTGAAAAGTTTTAAATTTTACGATTACCAAGTTAAATACTTTAGTCTGAATGGGGCTGCAGACCTGGACGGATTAGGGTGTTACAATTTGGTATCAGAGCAAATGGGTTTAAACACGATCTTCGGATCAATGTTTGATTTAAAAATATATATTATATATTTTGGGTAAAAAAAATATTATCAATCACATCCACGACTCTCGTATCCCTCTGCTCCAGGAAAGGTATGAGAATTTACTTAGTAAATATTGACTGTGTTAAGTTCTCATTTGATAACAATTGTTAGTACTGAAATTATATCGAGCATAGACTCAAGTCGAATTTTCGTATTCGGTAAAGAAACAAAAGAATAAAAAAAATGTATAAACCTCTGATACGTTATCAACGTACGCATCGCATCGTGAATGACGAAGTTGATCTGTACCAGAAAAGTCGCACGGAAGTGAGATGAACGTGAAGAACGATTCGTGTTGATATATGTTGAGAAACATCTGTGAAGCTGATGTCAAAAATCCTCATGTGGACTCAAGGCGATCTAATCGCTGATTCAAACACGAACGTTTAGAATCAATAAACTCTGTTATCTAAAGTATCTGATACTATTTTTGAGTCATTAGGACGCATTATGCGATTACTTAATGTGAATTGAAATCGTTCGTTAAGTGACAATTCTTTGTAAAACATCGTTGAAGTACCATACAAGGAAAATCGACATTATCCTTAGTATGCATTAACTGACTGAACGTCGTTGTTGTTGTCAACTTGTGATGAAGAATCCCTCAACTGAAGACCAATGATGGTAACCTTATAGAGGTGAAAGCAAAGCTGATTTCTAAACCGACCAAGTTCATCTCGAATATATATACGAAAACATCTCAAGTGTGAAGTCTATTCATGCGATACCCAAAAAGAAACATCTAAGCTGAAGGAACGTACCGAAAGGATGTCACCCCTCTGATATGAACTTCCTTATATTTCACCGTTCCAAGAAATTGAAAACACTGTCAATCTTGATCCTTGAGAGGACCAAAATTTGTAACTCTGTATTGAATATGTTTCCGTTGAAAAAAAAACTCAACTATGAAGATTTCCTAAGAAGGAATCATCTGACAAAGTGTTTCCTTTATCGGAGAGTATCTGTTCTGTTCAAACGTGAATAAGGAAGAATCAATGAGACTCTATATCAACTACTGTCAGTTGAACAATTCGTTATCATTTACTTCGTGTCATGACTTATTTGATCAGCTTAGAGGATCCATTGTATTCTCTAAGATTGACTTACGGTCAAGATACTATCACATCCATGTTAAGAATGATGGACAAACTGACGATCAAGAATCGCTACTCTTTACTACGTATAGATGATTTGTTCGAAGAACCTGTTTGTTAAAAGCTATAGACATCTCGAACATGTTGAATGAACGGATGCCTTGCTATGAAGCGACTAATGATTTAGTTGTTTATCGTCAAAAACGTCGATGTAGTCTGAATTGACTAAGTGAAACATAGGGATGCTGACTAGACAAATCGATTGACTTGTTTGACGTGAATAAATGACGCCAACAGTGAAAGACTGAAGAATGAAGCAAATGTAGCTCGCATATGACTAACCATTGATGTTTATGGATAATATTATTTAAACACAAATACAACTTGGATTACGTG